AGAGACAGTGACTGCGACACCGTGTTCTCCACCGAGGCTCGGTGCCCGAGCTGAGGACTTAGCTTAGCGTGCCAGGCTAGGCAGAAACTCCGCCACAGAATTCGGCTAGACGAGTATTGGGTCATGCTACGATTTACGTGAGCTGGTTGCAGATTGTTTTTTATATTTCTACCACGTCCAGCACGCCCGACCCCTTCCGCGAAGTTCTTCCCGACTTGGCTGAGAAAGCGTCGAATGTTTGTGTCGACATGGGTATTAGTACTGTGGGTGTGCTCGAGGCGGCCCTGGAGCTGACCGACGAACTATTGAGAAGGTGTGCATATGGGGGACTCGACGGAGAGTCCGAAACAACCACTATGACGGAGGTAGCCGATGCGAAGTCTGCCAGCTCATCCACCAAAAGTCCCGGTACTGCCAGCGAAGTCGTCGGTTCCAACAAAAACTATGGTGGTGGTGGTGGTGTCGCCGTGGTCGAGATCTTCTCGAAGCTGAGGAAGGCACGGTTGCTTATCTGAGCCGGTTGCTCTGGTTAGCGAGGTCACGATCAATCGAGGCAGCAGTCGAGTGTGATAAGGGTTACAGGCTGGCCTTGCCACAAGGGGTCACCCGCCTGCGGGACACTGACCCTTCTCTCCAAGTCGACTCTGCCCTCGGTACCTATTTAAGATCCAACCAGTCTCACGAGTTGATAGCTGTAGCCTTGGCTAAACCAGCGGTGAGCCAATCTGGCATACCCAGGCCACCTTCGGGCAAGTGGTATACGTAGGCAAGGGAGGGCTATGCACTTCGGTGCTGACACTTGCCGTTTCACTCGCCAATCCTGTCCCTTCGGTAGGGATTGCCGTTATCGTAAACATTTTGGCGACCCCCAATCTAAGCCTTATTGGCAGAACGGTCAAGGTGGGGAGAAGGACAGTAGCTTCGGGTCTGATAAACGCCCTAGGACTGGGCAGGTGAAGGATGAACCATCAAGGAAGAACCCTAAGGACCAATAGCTGCGGCATTGGTTTGGTGCCAATCCAACACTGT